CACCGTTGGAATGAAGCATATTCACTCTTTATAATGCATAGGAATCGTCGCTTGGATTTTGCTTGTCCTTACAAGCTCGAAGCCATTTCAGCGAGCCGAAAACCATAGGAATCGCACTGGTCACCCGAGACTTCGCTCGGTGTGTGTTTCCGACTGACATTACAGGGTTTAACATTTGGTTGCTAGAAGCGAAGTTATTTATAGGTTAAGCTAAACAAAGTCGCTAAGTAACTTATTGGGGTGTGTTTTTAGGTTTTAATGTTCGTAAGTGAACTGTAGACTCTCATAAGATATTCTTTTGCTAATATACCGCAAAGCTAGTCGAATGGTAGTGCTTTACCGCCAACGTCCCCAGGTATGATTGCCTCTAGCCCCTGCAAATGGTCAAACGCTTGCTGGAAATTTTCATCCAGAATCAAAATTTGATCTTGAAGAAGATAAAGCGCTTAATACTGGGGCCACACATTTAAACAAACCCGATGGCATTGCACACATCAGATAAGAACGATTAAGGTGCTGCAATACGCCCTGCATCCGGCCAATAAGCAGGGTATCTTCTAGTAAATCACATTTTTACAAAGCTATAACGACCTCTCGTTCGCCTTTATTTGCTTTCAGTTGTGTGGTGGAGAATGTAGAAGATAGATTCGGCGTGCTGTGGCTTGCCAAAGTGATATTGTGGGATTGTAAGAAGCCCTCTTAATGGTTTGCCTCTAAGAGCTATAACCTACTCAACTTGAAATACACTTCCAAGAATCATCCTCACCCCTTTTGATCTTTTATTTCGAGTGATGAAGACCTATTTTAAAAAGTTCGTCAAAGGGTATGAGCACGTTATAAAATGTCACCTTGCTGACACGTAGATATGCACTCCTGCAACAATAAATATGTTGTATATTTTAAGAAAAAAAAGTAAGGAAATCTAACCAAGGAATGCCGATGGTGTTGTTTCAATTGCAAAGTATATCATGGCTCAGACACTATCGATGACTGTTTTAAAATTACAGATGTGGAAAAAAAATGGTGTTGAAAGGTTATTATCCATCACTTTGGTCAAAACACATTTACTTCTCAGTAGTCACTTTCTTACTACTAACTTTATCCAAAGATATAAAGAATTGGCTCAACCAAATACCTCTAATAGTGTTAATTTATCTCGAAGAAAATGGATCTATTTTGATTGTCCTTAGCTCGAAAATTATTTACGACGAATCCTTTGAATACCGCAACCGCATGAATGCCCGACGGCCGTGCTAAAAGTTCAGACAGTATGTATAAAAATTCCTCGAAGTGCGCTAAATGGGAATGCAAATAAACTTACGTAACCTGGCAATAGCAGCCCTCTTTCTTGCTACTCTTTGGACCGAGAGCCAACTCCGCCCGTCGAGAGCGTACTCTAGTAAACTCAAGTACCGTTGCAAAGCCCCCAATTCGTTTCCTTACATTCAAAATCAGAATGTTAGCCAAAATTCTGTTAAATGGCCAAATTGTTTTAAAAGATAGTTCTCTGCCATCTAAGTTTGTTGCCGGTGAAAAAGTTTATTGAGAAAACCATATTTGCCTATTTTTCGAGGTGAGCAAATGCTCTATCGTCCAAGAACCGCAGCGGGACAGACATCCTGTAAATTAATAAATTGATGAGATCCCCAACCTCAGTAACAAAAGATTTTAATAAACAGGTAGATCTAGCCAACAAAAATACTAGCAAATGAGCTTATTTTAACACCTGCCGTTAAGATAGAATTACGCGTACCGTCTGACACAAAAATCCAGAAGGTAAAGGATGCGTAAAATTATCCATTTTTTTGCTCACTGTAGCATATTAGTAGTACATACAATGGTGTCACAAAATTGAATTCGATTTCCTTACTTTGCGAGCTTCATGTTTGTAAATCTACTACTACCCGTCCGCAAATGTGAATTAAATTCTTTACTTTGATGAACTACCTCGCGTTCGATCCCATTTTAGATAGCTTGTTATTTAAAACAAATATGATATTTGAGATAATTCAATATATAGTCATATTTGAGTTACAAAATGCGATATCTTAAAAAATGCCGAGAATTATTTACCTCACATCAACCTATTAAGTGTGATAAGAGGCATAGCTCTAAAGCTTGTCAAGCACATGACTGTGAAATCGAAAGTAAGTTTGGTTTATC